ATACTAGTGCAGGACGGATTTGAGATTTGTACAGTAGAAGATCAGCTGATGTAAAGAAGCATCTGGAACGGAATAAAAATTCAACCTCGCGCGCATCACAAGAAGCAAGCTAAGCTATAAAAGGAGACCATCGTAAAGGCTAATTTTTAGAAAATCCAAGGTAACCAGAGTTTGTCGAAAGCGGTTGGGTGGAATCTAAAGTGGAGGGAAGTATGAATGATGTCTCAAAGAAATTGAATGAAAGGAGATTTTAGAAGCATTGGTTGACATTGCCCCCAAGAAGAGATGTGTTCAGGTTCAGAGTCCAGTGGTACAGCGCGATTTCAAGGGTTTGGAAAAGTAGAAAATTGGAGTAGAAGACTGAACAACGACGTTAAATAGGAGACAACTCGAAAGCACACATTTTAAGGACGATGAGCGGAATACTGTCTGAGTTGAGTCGGTTATTTACGTGTAGAGAGCGCAGTGTTTGGTGAATTTTCCTAGTGCTAATATGGGGAAGAAAAAGGTTGAGAGTGGAATAAGAACAAGGTGGAGGAGTAGCTAATTGGGTAAGTTGGAGTTGACGGCAAACCAGGAAGTAAAAGCCTCAGCTTTCGCCTGTGGTTGACACACAAGAGGAATAGCAGATTGGATGTAGGAGTTTGTACGACAGAAATTACGGGAAATTGCTTTAGCGAAATGTTCGGCTACCGGTGGTGTACAAGTCCAAGGTTTCGGCTTGGCAGCAAACTAAGCGTTCTTTGGCTCCCAGGGACAGGTGTGGGGAGGTCATCTCCGGTTGTTGACCTAAGCGAACTATTCTATTACTCGTCACAAAGAAAAGGTAACAGTTGACTGGGTCAACCATTCTTGATTATGAGCGTTTAAATCTTCCAAGATGGTAACATAGAAGTTGGGGGTGGCTGCAAACGTGTGTTCAGTGCCCGAAGATAAAAAATCAAAGATGGGAGAATTTCCACAATGGGGGGGTGGAGAAGGTAAAGGACACAAAAGTTATGGAATAAAGAGGGAAGTCGGAGCTTCAACCACATCAGCTGAAATTCTTGATTGGAAAAGTCAAGATATGGGATTCTGAAGGCTGTGACTAATTGTGTTTGTATCGACTTTGGCGAGGACAGATGTCCGCATTTCAGTCAAAAAATTACATCTCATCGGAAGAAGGAAATAATACGAGTAAAACATGTAACCAGCAAAGTTACTGAGAAATTCAGAAGAAAAGCACTGTCGGCTTGCGAGGACTCTAGCAAGATAGGGAACGGGAATTTCTGTGAAGGTTGATGCGAGAGGTTAATAAGCGATCTGTGGAACGCGTGAATGAGTGAGAGCAGCATTTGGATAGGTCACCATGTTAAGGGTGAGTGGAGTCAGATAGGATTTTCTGTGCAAATGCGGACAAGTTTAGTTCACACCGTTTTTTATATGGACGATCAACGGGTATAAACGAAACACAATAGTTAATGGATAAACCGCAGTGGGGAATTCTCAAGTAGTCCAACAAAATTCATCGGGGGACAATAAAGAAGAACAAGAAAAACGCAGTGATAAACAAAGTGACATGATTTTTTGTTTGGCGTGGAATTGCCTAAGTCTTCGAAGTTGAAAAGATAATCCACGAAGTTTCTTTACTCAGTTATAGATATGAGATGACCCACTTAAGTTAGTGTCAATGGTAACTCCTAAATACTTCACTGAATCTACTCTAATTGGAGGATCTGTGTTTATGACTGGGATCACAGGGATACACAGATATATATTTAAAGAGAGTAAAAGTGCATTCAAATCACTTAAAGTAAAAGACAGTCCAGGAAGATAGAAAAATTCGTGCATATTCGATATTTTGCTGAAGAAATGGTTCGGCAAAGGACCGCGTCATCAGTCTATTTAATTAATTGAGCTAGAGAATTCGCCGAAAGGTCACTCATGAAGGTGGAAAACAAGAACGGAGAAAGTACTGCTCCTTGGAACACTCCCGTATTGTTTTTGAGCGATTTATATGTTTTCACACGCAGCCGAGTGTGGTGACTTCTGTTTGTGTAGCAGTCAACGTGTCACGTCAGTGGGTGCTTGGGATAAGAGAATGATTCCATTTTGCACAGGAGGATGGAACGTGGAACAGAATCAAAGACCGATGAAAAATCTAAGAACACATCTTGCGGATTTCGCGGATGAGTCAAGAGATTTAGCAATGAAATTCACCAGAGAGTCGACATCATCCCAAGTGGACCTGCTTAATTTATACGTAAACTGGGGAACATCTTCGGGGTACTAAGAGAAATAGATAACGTTTGAGCATGGCACGTTCTGCCAATTTGAGACCACACGATGTTAGAGCATTTGAACGGAAACTTTTGGATAAGGTGCTAGATCTACACGGTTTTGGAATGGGAATGATCGTGCCGGGTCTCCAGCAATCTGGGATAGAATGCTGTGTTGATGTGTT